GGAGGGGGTCGGAGGAGGGCCGGGGGAGGGGCAGCCAGTGGAGCTTGGGTGGACTCTGGGCAGTAGGACTGGCAGCTGTAAGCACAGGGGCTTCCTGGCTTGCCCCGCAGGACCTGCAGCACCCAGTCCAGGGGCTGAGCTGTCGCAGGTGCTCAGGAAACACTGGGTGAATTAACAAAGGGTCCCGGGTGGCACAAACAGTTAATGTGCTCGACTACTCACTGAAAGGTTGGCGGTTCGAGTCCACCCGGAGGCACCTCGGAAGATAAGCCTGGTGATCTGCTTTCAGTGGGTCCCAGCCTTGAAAACCCTGTGGAGCACAGTTCTACTCTGACACACATGGGGTCTCCAGGAGCTGGGGTCGACTCGACGGCCATTGTTTTTTCTGTGTGTTGTTGGAAAGGACACCACACAGGTGACAGGATGTCCCTCTCAGTGCGTCGTGTCAGGGGGCACGTGATGGGGACAAGTCCTGTCGTGGGTGACGTTGACCTTGATTGCTTGGCTAAAGTGGTCTTGGCCAGATCTCACCGTGGTGGTTAGGACTTGCCCCTTTGAAGTTGGAAGAGACCCTCTGAGACTGTGGCTGTGTAGACTCTGAGTTTCTGCCTAACCTGCCCGCTCCGTTTAGCGGCCCTCAGTGGGGGCGGTCAGGGCAATGTTGGGGAGAAGGTGCTAGGGAATCTAGATGTGTAGAGTGGTCTGGGGACCCACCCTCAGCCTTCCCTCCGCTCGTGGCGTTGTGGGTGGTAGCCCAGGAAGCGGCGTGGCGTGGTGCTGGGGCGGCCCCCTGAGCCCCCGTGTCTGTCCGCCTGCCAGCTTGAGTGGTGCGTCCCCGTTCCTGGGTGAGACCAAGCAGGAAACGCTGACCAACATCTCGGCGGTGAACTATGACTTCGACGAGGAGTACTTCAGCAACACCAGTGAGCTGGCCAAGGACTTCATCCGCCGGCTGCTCGTCAAAGACCCCAAGTAGGAGCCGGGGCCTCGGGCGGGGTAGGATGTAAAGACCCCAAGTAGGAGTGCCAGAGCCTCGGGTGGGGTAGGGCAAGGAGTCTGGGGTGGATCTTAGTGACGACGTGGCAGGACCCGGCCCCTCCACCCTCGTTCCCTCCACGCTGCCACCTCCTTTTGCACGAATTGGGTTCTGCTTCTTCTCGGGACTGGAGGCAGCAGACGGGCCTGTGGACGGCCTTCACGTGCATCTGGGCAACACTGTGTCTTCAGGAATTTTTAAAATTTGTTACCAACCTTTAAAATTGGGTTTCACATCAAATTCCAGATTTCTGTTTCTTTCTGGAACAGCCTAAAGTCCTGGCCACACTGGTCCCTCAGTGACGGATAGTGCCCTCATTTGCCGTGGTCCTCCCTGGGCTTGCATCCCCCCCTCGCCCCCAGTCCATGGGGGCCAGAGTCACAACCCTGAGCTGGGTCACAGTTCTGTTGATCAACCCCCCAGAGACATAGCACCCCGGGAGCTCACCCTCCACGTGCCCCTTGGCTGTTCCTCGTGGTTGGCCCAGCGAGCTGCATGCTCGGCCTGGGGGCGCAGGTTCACGGTTTTCCCCGGGGCTGGCCGCCCTGAGGGCCATGTATGCACGGGTTGGCTGGAGGCCCCACTTGGCCTGTGCCCCTGGCCATGGGGGATGGTGCAGATGGCACGTGTGTGACTAACCCAGTTTGGGGGCTCTTCCAGGCGGAGAATGACCATCGCTCAGAGCCTGGAGCATTCCTGGATCAAGGTGAGGAGGGCAGGCCATTCTGGGGCCCTTTCTTCTGCCAGTCCTCGCCTTCTCTGGGGTCGGAGTGGTCTCTTCCCGTGTGAGGGCCACAGGCGTGATGGACCGTCAGGGAGGAGCCCCCAGAGGATCGGGCCGGGGGGTGGTCATCTTAGATGTGTTGGGGCTCAGTGTCTGCAAATTTTCTCTAAAGGGCCAGAGATTGTTGGCTCGTAGATCAGACAGTCTCTGTCACCACCACTTAGCTCTGCCCTGGTAGCTGGAAAGCTGCCATAGACGATACATAAATAAATGGACGTGGCTGTGTGCCAATAAAACTTTATTTACAAACACAAGCGGAGGGCCAGATGTGGCCTTGGTGGGCTGATCCCTGGTCCAGGCCCCCTCTACCCTCCCCTGCCCCCGCAGGCGATCAAGCGGCGGAACGTGCGGAACGAGGAGAGCGGCCGGAAGCCGGAGCGGCGGCGGCTGAAGACCACGCGCCTCAAGGAGTACACCATCAAGTCGCACTCGAGCATGCCGCCCAACAACACCTACATCAACTTCGAGCGCTTCTCCAAGGTGCTGGAGGAGGTGGCAGCGGCCGAGGAGGGCCTGCGCGAGCTGGAGCACAGCAAGCGGCTCTTCCGTGAGGACATCGAGGCGCTGACGGCCATCTATGAGGAGAAAGAGGCCTGGTATAAGGAGGAGAACGAGAGCATCGGCCAGGACCTGAGGCGGCTGCGGCAGGAGCTGCACAAAGCCGAGGCGCTCAAGCGGCAGGCCCAGGAGGAGGCCAAGGGCGCCCTGCTCGGCGCCAGCGGCCTCAAGCGCCGCTTCAGCCGCCTGGAGAACCGCTATGAGGCTCTGGCCAAGCAGGTGGCATCCGAGATGCACTTCGTGCAGGAGCTGGTGCGCACCCTGGAGCTGGAGAAGCTGCAGGCGGGCGAGTGTGGCCTGCGCTAGGCCACCCGGGGCGAGGTGGGCTGGGGACCCTCCCCAAGGCCGGGGGCTGAGGGCGCTTGGCTGGAGTGCTCTGTGGGACCCAGATACTCAGGGCCTGGGGTGGGGGAGCAGGCAGGAGGCAGGGAAGCCAGCCCCACCTCTGCAGCATCAACAGGGAACTCTGCGGGGTCTGCTGCTGGTGTACATGGGCACCTCATGCCCCGCTGGGCAGGGGGCAGCAGCCCGTCCCTGGGCCTGGCGGCTGCAGGGCCTGACTCCTCGGCTCTCGTGTCCCTCATGGCCGGCTCAGTGCCCAGGAGGCCTGGCGAGGTGTGCTGTGGGTGTGCGGGCCTTGCCAGGACTCCTGGAGTTGGGGGGCTCCATCACCTATGGAGCAGCCCAGCCCCCCACCCCATACCAGAAACGGGAGCCCAGCTCCCCCACGCCCACTGTCCACCACACATGGCCTCGCTGCCACATGCCCTGCCCTGGGTGGTCACGGGCAACAGAGGGTGAGACCCCGCCCTTGAGGAGATTTTGATCTGGAGGTGGTGGGGGCAAGGGGGGTTGTGGAAAAGGAAATGCTTGCAAAAGCCTGTGTTACCGAATCGGGGCAGGGGGTGGCCGCAGCGCTCCCCTCCCACAGACCATCCCCCTGCCGAGGTGATGGGGTGAATCCCGCTCCTCCTGGCTCCCTAGTAACGTGGGGTGCAGGCTTCCAGTGAGCACCCCCAGCACCCTGACTCACCAGTGGGCATGCCTTCTTGCCTGCAGCCGCCCTTGGGACAATCTGTCCCTGCGGCCTCGGCCCCCAAAGGCACCCAACTGCCCTGCCTCAGTGGGCAGGGGGGACTCGTCACTCCAAGTCCTGGCCAAAGGGTCAGCACGGGGAGGTTGGCACATCTGTGTTCTCTCCAGGGAGCGTACCCGTGCCCGTTAGTGCACTCGAGGCTTGGAGCTGCCCTGGAGCTGCCCTGGAGCTGCCCTGGAGCTGCCCTGCGACAAACCCTGGCATTTCCCAACCTCCCGCTGTGGAGGCTTCCCGCCCGCGGCTGCAGTACCACCGCCAGCCACTGGGGGCCGCCCTCCACCAGCACGCCCCGCCCGAGTTGGTGGCTTCGGGGAACCTGCTCAGTGATGTCTTGCTTGGCTGCCTGAGGGAGGGTCGCCTGTGTGCTTCTTGCTCCTGTGAAAATGGGTTCCAGGAGCCGAAGACCCCTGGAGTGCAGGGAGGGACCCTTCTAGCCGAGGTCTGTGCCCAGGGGGCTGCAGTGGGGCTGGTGTGGCCCCATCCAGGAGCTCCATCGGCACCCGTGTGCACACATATATGAGAACGTGCCTGTTGAAGCTAAAATAAAATTCCAGTTTCCCCGACACCGGTGTTCCTGTGGTGCAGACCTGGTGGGACAGCCAGCATTGGGGAGTCCCTGGGAGTTTCATCTCTTAAGGCTTCTGCTTCTGCTTCTCTTGGGGCCTGGCCAATCTCGTCCTTTCTCTGCAGTGAGAGGAAAGTTTCGGGGTCACCAGACACAGGTCAAAGGGGTATCCTGTCCCTTTGCCCTTCCAAGACGCTGCCAAGTCACACATGGGAGTCCCCAGCATGAAGGGGTCTGCGGGGCTCCAGCCCCCTAGTGGAGACCCCAGCACAGGGCCTGAGGGCGCTGGGCATGTCCACAGGCGTCCACAGTGCCCCCACTCGGCAAGGCAGTCCCAGGTGTTCCCAGGAGGTGGCAGGCAGGCAGATCCCTTCCCCTTGCTGACTGATGTGGGCTGTCTCAGCAGCTCAGCCCAGCCTCTGTCTGGAACATTCCAAGGCGGGGCCACCCTGACCCTTCATTCCCTGGAGTGGAAATTCTGAGCCTCTGCTGGCACCTTTGTTACCTCATTCCATACCCCCATGGGCAAGCTTCTTTTTTTAAAGAAAAAAAAAAAAAAGTGAAAAATTGAGATACTCACATACGATAAAATCCGCCCATTGAACATGTACAATTGAGTGGTTTTTAGCGCGACTGTCACCGCTGTCTAGCTTCAGAGCACCCCAGAGGGAAACCCCGCGCCCAGCAGCAGGCACCCCCACCCCCTCCCAGTGCCCTGACGACCACTAATTTGCTGTCTGTCTCTGCACACTTGCTCTTTGGGGACGGTTCATTCTCACCAGAGCTGTGTAGGCGGCGCCCTAGGCCTCATCACTTCCCAGTTATAAAAATAGCACATTAGACGGGGGGAGGGTAGATGCCGCGTGGAGGGCGCCAAGGAACCGGGGCACGCTGGGCCTTCCGAAGCTGAGACCAGGGTCTCCCCCTGAGCCACGCCCTGCTAAGGTGGCGCAAAGGTTCCAGCTCGACTGCTCACCCAAAGGTTGGCTGTTTGAACCCACCCAGCAGTACCACGGAAGAAAGGCCTGGAGATCTTCCAAAAGGCCACAGCTTTGAAAGCCCGACGGAGCAGTCCTACTCTACACTCGGGGTTGCTGTGAGTCGGGATAGACTCGATGGCAGCAACAAAAAAAATGTGAGGAAATGAATTTCTGTTCCTAAGCCACCCACTTGTGGTATTTGTTACAGCAGCACGAGGTGACTGAGACACTCAGCTCTGCCAGATGTCAAGGTTGTCCTTAGCTGCTGTCAGTGGATTCCGACTGGTGGCGACCCCACGTGTGCAGAGTAGATCTGCTCCATAGGGTGTTCAAGGCTGTGACCTTTCAGAAGCAGATTGTCAGGCCCGTCTTTCAAGGTGCCTCTGGGTGGGTTGGGATCGCCAACCTTTGGGCCAGTAGTCGAGCACTGTTACAGATTGAGTTGTATGTGTGTTGCAAATCCTAACCCTGTAGGGTCGCGGCGAGTCAAACTGACTAGTCAGCAGTGTGTTTAATGTGTTCTTTTTTAATTTTTAATGCCTGTGCATGTAATCCTATTTGGGGATAGGGCTTTCTTTGTCGTGTTAATGAGACCACATCAGCGTAGGACGCGCCTTAAGCCAATCACTTCTGAGATATAAAAAGAGCAGATTAGGCACAGAAGCAAGCACAAATGGGGAAGGGAGACGCCACGTGGAGATCGCCAAGGAACCACGGAACGGAAGCTGAAGAGAGACAAGGACCCTCCCCCAGAGCCGACAGAGAAAGCCTTCCTCTAGAACCAGGGCCCTGAATTTGGGCCTCTAGCCTCCGAAACAGTGAGAAAATAAATTCTGTTCATTAAAGCCACCCACCGTGGTATTTCTGTTCCAGCAGCACTAGATGACTAAGACAAGTGCTTAACTGTGCCACCCAGGGGCTCAGACCTACTAATCGCTCAGTCACGCTGGGTGGCTGCCCACCTCCTGTGGGGGGCATGGGTCACTCTGTCCTACCCTGGGGGCTCGGAGCGGGTGTGAAGTGGGCTTGGGTCCAGCCAAGTCCGCAGCTGCTGCATCTTGACCGTACTTGGCCATGGAGCTGCAGGCGCCGTGGACGCTGCTATTAATAATCGAGGTGCGTTTGCCCAGGCCACGGGCTGCCCCTATAAAGCCAGGCCCGCCAGCCCCGAGCGGTTCCTTCAGCCCCCGAGACTTTAACCCCCCTGTTGTGAGACAAAAAGAAAAGTAAGTACCAAAACCATTTCTCCCCGGCCCTTCTCCCGGCCCCACGCAGAACGCGGCCCCTCCCGGTGGCCGGGATGGTGACACACAGTGGTGAAACGAGACCCCCCCCCCATTAACAGGACGTCTGAAACACAGAACCGTGGTGGCACCCAGTTGTCCCAGGCGGGTTGGGGGCCACCAGGACAGCCCAGCCGCGTCACGGCCCGAGAGCAGGGGAGATGGCAGGGGGAGGGGCAGCTGAGCTATTTAGGGGCCCAGCCAGATCACTGGCTCTCCTTGTCCTAGGGGGTCAGGGACGGGGACCCCTGCCCAGGCCAGGCGACCCCAGAGTGCATGTTTGTCTTGTGGTAATGTGTGACTTGTCTTGGCCCCTTGGGAGGTGAAAAGTGGGGACCGAGGTCTGGTGCTGTCTCTACCCCACCCCCACCCCCTGACCTTTGTCCCCTGTCGCCAGCCCCCTTGGGGTTTGTGTTCTGATGACGCAGCTCTTCAGAGTCCGGATGAGCCGTGTTTGGGTCGATTCCGGTGAACCCCCTGGAGCCCTGCAGCCCCCCTCCCGCCCCTCCAGCTTGGAGAAGGACAGACCATCGTCCGTCCTCCCTGACACTCTGCTGTCCCCTGACCTTGTCCAGTGCTGGCGCAGCTCTGATGATGGGAATGGGGAGGAGACAAGTGCGTTTTGTGGGAGCCCCGAGGTCCCCCAGAACCCACTGGGTGGATGTGGGGGCCTCCTGGGCGGCCGAGAGCGTGGGGCGGTCTGAAGCCATGAGCGCTGTCCTCTGCCCCCCGCCGTCTGCCGCCCTCCCCCAGGACACCCCCTTGGGGGCCTGGCGCTGGAAGGACTAGTCGCCCGCCCGACCCGACGTGGGGCTGCTTGGGAGGTCGCCTTTGGCCGTCTGGGACGTGGGCGGGGGCTGCGCAGGCAGAGAACTGCTGAATTGAGAGCGTTTGAGTGCTACTTGATGGGGGCAGCAGATGTTGGGGTGGGTAGGGGTGGGGGGATGGTCCTGAAATAGAATGGGGGGACTGGAGGCAGGCGCTGGGGCCTCAACACCCCACCTCCTAGGACCCCCCCACCCCCCACCTCCCAGAGCTCCTTTTTCCCCACCTCCCAGAACCCTTTTCTTGCCACCGCCTAGAGTCCCCCTCCCCCTACCAGGGTCCCCCCATCTCCTGGGAACCCTCACTCACCACCTCCCAGAGCCCCCTACTCCCCACCTACCAGGGCCCCTAGACCCCCATGTTCTGGGTCCTTCACCCCCACCTCCCAGGACTCCTACTCCTCACTTTCCAGGGCCCCTCACCCCCAACGTTTTGGACCCCTCACCCCCCATCTCTCAGGGCCCCCTCCCCACCTCCCAGGCTCCCCACCTCCCAGGACCTCTCTGCCTCTCTGAGGGGTGGGTTTGTGGCTGTTAGGACATTTAGGGAGGGGCCGCGGACTGAGTTCTGGTTTGGCAGCCGTCCTAGGTTTGGGGGTCCCCCTCAGGGGCTGTTGGGACTGGGCACTTTGGTCCTGGATGGAAGGTCCTCTGTCCATTTGTCTGCTGCTGCGTCCATCTGGTGGGCCTTGCCCACTGCCCCTTCCCCAGGGTGGGCTTGGGTGGGTGGGGTCAGATCTTCCTGACCACCAGGGGGCCACAGATGGGCGTCCCACAGGGGAGGCTGCCGAGGGGTCAGGCTCCAGCAAGGGGCCTTTGGGGTCCTGTGGCGGGCCAGGGGATCCCGCCTGCCTTCCTTGCCTGCAGGAATCCTGAGATCCCCGCCAAGGCACGTGACAGGGAGGGTGACCCAGTAGCCAGCGATCAATGCCCGCTCAGGGCATCAGTGTGAGTGGGGAGCTTCTCTTGTGGCTTGGGACAGCTGCCCCAGAACCCCCCCACCCCAGGTGGGCTCCCTGCCACCCTGGGCCCTGCAGGGATCAAGGAAGTGGGGACTGGGCAGAGGACAAAGGGCCAGGTAGGGCCCTGCCAAGTTCCTCAGGGTGGGGGTGACTTGGCCAGAAAGGTGTCAGCCACGGGGTGCTGGCATGAATGTGTGTGTGTCAGGGTGGGGCCCTCAGCCCTTTTCTGGGGTCACTCTGCACAGCCTGTCCCACGCTGTGTGCCTTGGGGGACAACGGCAGAGTTTTTGGGCTTATGCTCTGCTTTTACGACAGTCCCTCCCCAAATCCCAGCATTGCTGACGCTGGGACCAGATCCTTCTCTGGGGTGGGGCGTCCTGTGCACTGTAGGGTGCTGAGCAGCACCCCTGGCCTCTACCCACTCGATGCCAGTAGCACCCTCCCCCCAGTCATGAAACCCACAAATATCCCCAGATATCGCCGAATGTCCCTCTGGGGGGCAGAATCACCCTGGGTGAGAACCCCTGGGTTAGGGGATTCCACTGACGCCCAAGAGACTATGCGTCCCATAATCACCTGACCTACTGACATCCTAGGACGCTGCTCATATTGAAATCCACACACTGAGTGGGGAGGAGAGAGGAGGGAGGTCACAGGGGCTGGGGGGGTCCCCCTGGTTTGTACCGTCTGACCCAGTGGGAATTTATTCTGGTGTGTGGTGTAAGCAGGAACTGAACTTGATTTTTTTCTAAATAATTAATGCAGGGTCTCTCCTCTCTGCACTGCGGACATGGTGGCCAGATTCTTCTCTGGGGCGGGGCCGTCCTGTGCACCATAGGGTGTTGAGGAGCATCCCTGGCCTCCACCCACACCCCAGTTATGACAACCATAAACGTCCCCGGACATCACCAAGTGTCCCTCAGTGGGGCAGAATCGCCCTGG